TAAACACTACAACTATTTCCACACTAGCTGGGAGACTTAGAAAAGTCACTTTTGTTTCCCTGAGCCTCAAAACTGGACTAATACTGCCTGCTTGCCAGTCACAGCACAGATGGGAACACTCGGCAGGTAGAAGGCATACAGGACTGGCCACAGTGCTGTGGGGTGTTGGCTGCCATCAGCAGCACCAACCTTCTTCTTCCTTGCACAGACCCAAAATTAGTAACAGTGGTAGGATTTCCTACCATTCTACTCAAAGGGCTGCCCTCCTCCCAGGCGGAGTGCACTAAAATGGCTTACTTAGGCCAGTCTGTGATAGTGGCAGTGGTCTGGACAGGGGTTCTCAATTGCCTTCTTACAATAGGAGGAAAAAATTCCCACCCCCACTTAACTCCTAAACATTGCTGTCAGTCAAATTAATAATGGCAGATGTGCCTTTACAGCCTCATGAATGCGGGGTTTTGGTTCTAGAAGGCCACCGAGGACCCTGAACTGGACAGACCTCTGTGTTCCTTACCCTCCTTTCTCCAGCTTGAAAGGAGGCTTGTCAATTTGAATGAGCTTTGATGGCATTGCGAATTTAAGCACTCCGCTCTGCTGAGGGCCACTGAGAAAATTTGTTTTTGAACGTGGAGGGTCAAGAAAGTGGGGCTCCCTGTTAGCATTCAGGCCTCAGCTCAATGGCCCCTCCTCAGGTAAGTCTTTAGCGATTGCTTACTCTTCCCTAAAGCAACTCATTCTCCTGGGTTTACATTCTTCCTGACACTTGTCACTCTCTGGAATCATCTTTTCAACTTGGCTCTCTCTCTGAGAATGTAAACCAGCAGAAAGCAGGAACCGTGTCACCCGGCCACCGCCATAAGCTCAGTTTTTGCCAGAGCGCAGAGCACATAGTAGGTACTCAGTTCATCCTCATTGAATGAATGACATAAATCCATAATTTCAAACTTGCACAATCTTAGAGAACATTCTCAGGAGTCAAGGCCTCAACCAAGGGTGCACAAGAAAAGGTAAAGGCTGAACTTTTCCAAACCTAGATGAATTTCACCTTTGAAACTATAATCGTGCTTATTTGAAACAAGCACTTGTGATGTTCTGACCAAAGCTCTGGCCCAATCCTCTAACATTTTACGGACTCATTTTTCCACAAGCGTCTACAAGGAGATGGGGGTCCACTTGCTATGGCAGTCCCCATCCTCTGTCACCCACCTCAGAGAGAAAAGATGATCACTTAGCTGAGGGGCCTCAGCCCTCACAGTATTTGGTGTCACCTAAGGGGAACCCATCTGTGGAAGCAAACAACCACCTCACTCATTGGGAGAGACCAGAAGCACCACCAGAATCCTCACCATGGGCAGCAGAAAGCCACACTCATGGTTACTGACTCCGATGATAGAAGGAACTGGATGGAATTGTTTCTGAGTCATTAGATCTAGAGGCTCCTCAGGAAAGAAAAATCCATCAACCACTCGAGTGAACGACTTGGTTTTCTGAAATAAGAAGGGAAAAATTGACAGCTGTTTCTCTTTACAAATTCCACTGTCCCCAACCCCTAGCCAGGCTGAGGCAAGTGGTCAAAGTGCAGTAAGAAAAGAAAATAAGCCATCCCAGTGCAGAGTGCCCCTGGGCCAGCCCCCTGGAGCAAAGGTACTCAACTTTTTTGAGCCTTGGTTTCCTCATCTTCTAACTGGGTAAGAACAGTAGTTACCTAAGAAAAATAGTAGACTTGCATAGTGGTTCTCAAAGTGGGCCTCCAGGACTTGTGGCGGCAGCATCATCATCAGGAAACTTACCAGAAATGCAAATTCTCAGGTTCCATCCCAGACCGCCTGAATCCAGAACTCCAGGGGTGCAGCCCAACCATCTTGTTTTAACAAGCCTGCCAGGAGATTCTCATGAATGCTCAAGTGTGGGAATCACTGACTAAATGCAACAGGCAGAGTGGGGAGCAGAGGGATGGCTAGTGGGGGTGTGGGAAGCTCGTCCTGAGACGTCCATGTGCCTTGGATCTAGCTGGATATTTCTTAGGTCTGAGGAAGCAACACCTGGCTCTCATCCTGGTTTTTCAAGATGTTGAGAGTGGGTCAGAAGGGAAGACACAAAACAGCTGTCTTGCGACATCAGATCAAGGACTGTTACCCATTTTTTGGATGTGAGCACAGCTCATGCCAAATAACTAACAAACATGGAAATCTGACAGATAATGACCTTGATGATTCGAGGACAATCAGAAGCTCCAAGATTGGAAAGGACATAAAAGCTCATCCAGTTCAATGATTCATCCTGTGATTGAAATTTGCCAGTGGTCATGTAGACCCTGCTTGAATACGTCCAGAGTGAGTGTCTCACTCTCTTCTAATGGAGCCTGTGTTTTTCAGACAACTGGGTTTTTAGGAAGGCCTTGGTTATACATTCAAAGTGGTTTCCTAACAGAACTTCGAGCTCTGACCTTGATGTTAGCTTCTGGTAGCATGTGGAGCAAGGATGGTCCCATCTCTGTCCATGAGATGCCTTCAGTGACCTACAGACTTTGAATTTTAGTGGCTCTTCAGGCTAAGCAGCACCCCTGGCCCATCAAGTTCTTGAATTACCTAGTGTTGGAGCGGCTGCGTAGTAAGCAGAAGGGCCTTGACCCGAGTCTCTAAGGCATGAAACACATGTGTCTCGGAGGAAACCTCTGAGTGACGGACTGGTGTTAAGAGCCTGGAAAGTGACTGCGTGGAGTCGGGCTTCTACATCTCCACAGCCTGAGATTAAAATGGAGAGATCCTGTGCAGTAAGCAGAAGGCCTTGACCTGAGTCCTAAGGCATGTGAAAACACATGTGTCTTGGAGGAAAACCTCTGGGGACAGGACTTGGTGTTGAGAGCCTGGAAGTGAACTGTGTACATCTCCACATTGACATAATGAGCGAACTTCCCAGTCAGGCTAGGAGGCGATAAGATTATGTGTGTGAGAACTAACCGCCTGGTATCCTACTGTCTGAAGTAAATAGATAATAGTAAGAAAATAGACTAATTACGTGTTATCATTATGTGGTATGCTTGATGTTACACCTGCTACAATTAAAATAGTATATAATAAACACTAAGACAATAAAGATTTGCTGCATGCTGGACATGACAGTCCCCCATGTCTAATTTCCTTCACCGTCGCGGGTCAGGGTCGGACTCACTAGAAGTCCACATATAAGGATTCTGCCTTCTACATGGGCAGACATTATTTTTTAATAGTAATGTCAGGCATTACTATGAATCACTAATCCTAGCTTCCAAGTCTCAAGCCTAAGGAAATAAGAGAGAAGTAGGATTTGCCTTCAGCTCCCTTCAAAGGGCCAGCCTGCCCCAAGCCCTCCCCTGCTCTTTACCTGGCTGATGTTGAGCAGCTCCTCAGACGATTTTGCCCTCAGGCACTGCAGCAAGGCAGGGGAGTCTGAGGCCTTGCAACCACAGGCATCTGCAATCATCTGCAACTATTTCCAGAAAAGGACCAGGTCAAAGCTGGGTACTGAAAAGCTCCAAAAAAGTGAAATTTGGAAAGAGTACTTAATCCAGCCACAGGCTGCTCTGCCTGCTGCCCCCTCACCACCTTGTGCCTAGAATGGGATGTACCCATCAAGGACAGACGGACTGGTGTTCTCCATACTCGCTCACCTGAACCTCTTTGTCATCTTTGCTAATTGTCAGAGCTGGGGGAGGTGCTGTGGCAGTCTGTGGGCTGGGACAGAGTCAAGGTTCTGGGTTCCAGAAAGGCCAGTCTGGCACCAGTCCCCCAGGAGATGAGAAACTCAACTCTGGGCTGCTATATGGAGTTAGGAGGCCCAAGAGTAAGGAATAGCTTTGCAAGCTTCTTAACTGCCAGTTGAGGCATGCCTCTAGTCAGTCTTGGCCTGTCAGTTCTCTGAAACCTCTCTTTCACCCCCAGCCTGGAAAGCCCTAGAAGTCTTTTTTTCCATCTCTATGCCAATTCTACTAATTTTGGCCCACCTCCTACTTCTCTCAGAATGACAAGGGGTTGAGCACAGCACTGTGAAGTTATCTGCAGCCTCTGCAGCACAAGTTTGATTCCTGGCCAGGGAGCTACCCACATAGTGCAGCAGACCTCTCCTGTCTCCCTTGCTGCTCCCTTCAGCAATGTATTTCAGTAGATTTGCCTGTTCTGCTCCCCACTTTGTCTCCAGTGAATCCTCTCACCACCTCCTTCTGCACCTCTGGCCTACACCCCAGTTCTTGTGTGCATAAATAAATCAATCTTTTAAAAAAGAAAAAGACATTTGTTTAAAAAAAAAGTACTTTCAAACCACTGCAGTTTTCCTCCTCTTAACTCTTCTTGCCCAAGGATCCTCACCTTCTCTACCCAGCCCTTTGCAAAATGCCTGCTCACCCCGACATTGAACTTTGCACATGTGCAGATCCTGTCCCTTCAAAGTGGTGGCCCTTAGTCTTCTGGGCGTCATAGATGCTCTAAGCAGCCCATGAAAGCTATAGACCTTCTCCCTGGGAAAATGGGACACACAGAGAATCTGCATACAAGGAGTTCAAGGAGCACCTTCCGAACACACGGACTGCAGGTTAAAAATACTTGGCATGAAACATTATTGTTGTCTTGAGCTAGTTTTCTACTTATAAATTCAGAGGTCATAGCAGAACTGAGAAAACATTGTGAACTCAATATGCATGTGGTGAATGAACAAATATGAGCACAAACCAGAAGTTGATATATCGTGTTACCAAAATCAATAATCCCTGTGTATTGAGGTTATTTTTACAATCTTATAACTCTGCTTCTGTTTTTGTTCTTAGTGCGGGGTTTGTATTTTCTAGAGGATATTTAAGAAAATACACCACTAAAATGTACAATACCCGGGCTCCACAGTCTAATGTTTATTTAATATTCATCAACTGCAACAGCATATCCCTTAACTCAAACATTAAGTAAACATTTACGGTTGCCTAAAATAACCAAGGCATTATGCTGGGACATGAAAGATAGAGACCTCAGGATCCAGGTCCTCACTATCTGGCAGAGTGCTAAGACAAGAGGACAGATGACAAATATCTGGGTATATGTCCTATCTCCCCACATGATCTTGTGCCAGACAACATTAATCAGTCATAGTGTTATTCCCACTGAGCTGTAAATAGCCTCAGAATCTTTCTTAACATAGTAGTCTAGGAGGTGAAGCAGAGTAAGTATAGGAGATGAATTTTATATAAACAGGGGACTAAGTTATATATCATAAGCAAAGGATATAGTTAAGGTGGAAAAATGATCACGGTACACACATGTATGCACACACCCACAAGTAAACACACATGCATAAACACACAAAACACACACATTTGCACACACCCACATACACACAAACCCAGATACTCACATTCACACATATGCATATGCAGTCACATGATATTCATAACACTCACACGCATACACTTTCACACGTATGCATATGCACACATGCACTCACAGCCATGTACACCAGCAATATTGCATTATGTAGCTGCACCCACTTCCTACTGAACCAGGTCTTCCATGGTAGCCTCTCTGGGCCAGCATCAGATTCTTTGACCATGGTTAGCAAGTACAGGGAAGCACGTGGTCTATGCACAGATGATCAAATTCTTTCCTGAGAACAAACTGAAAGGGTAACAGTGAACCTACATCCTTACTCCTAGCATCATCAGCAGCCTTCAGGTAAGGGATGATGGCCACTCCACTCTCCATGATGGCTTTGTGGAATAAGCCAGTGGTCAGTGGGGACAGAAGCTGGAGAGAGAACACAGGAGATGCGAAGTTATTTATGGGGCTGGCTCCCCATCACACACACCGCCCATTCCTTTTTGGAAAAAACTTTTCTAGGAAGCTCTAAGCTCGGGGGGGGGCAAAAAAATCTGGTTTGGGGGTTAGAGCTGTCAAGGGGTTTGGGCAAGTTATTGAACCTCTCCAAGTCCTGATTCCTTATAAACTTGAAGTTCATGAGCACCAGCTCTGTCATTTCTTAGCTGGGGAAGCACAAGCAAGATGCTTATTACTTCTAAGCATCCCCTTTAGGGGAGCAATACGCTGAAATAGAACCTATTACTGAACCTATATACTGAAACTGAACCTATCTCCTGGACTTGTGAGGAGCAGGAGAAGCTTAAATATAGAAGGTTTTGTACAGTGTTCGTTTGAATAAGAGCTCATGAAATGGTGGCTATCATCACATATATAAAGTGAGTTACTATAATCCCTTTATTGCATTAATTTGAAGATATAAAAAAATACTTTGTCAAGGGCTACACAGCAGAAGTTCTCTTAACCCATCTCGTGTAGCTCATTTCTGTGATTATATGTTAACTGGTGTCCTCTATAGCCATTTTCCAGGACCTCTGTACATTTCTATTATCATCCATTTCCTGCCAAGAGTTAAGTGTGTTTGCTTCCGAACTTGTTTTTTCAGCTACACTTACTACAGTAATTATATAATGGGTGAAATACCATGGGAATGAATGGAGTGTGCATGTGAAAAAAAAAATGTTTGGGGGAAACAAAGCCTTGATAAAGGCAAGTAGTGAAAAAATACTGCTGTCAAATTAGATGTGAACAAGTAAGAGTAAAGTGTGCAGAGGGAAATAAAACACTCCATGAGCACTTCACAGCCTACTTTTAGGCATCTTGAAGTTCATGCTCACTGGAAAGAAACTAAAACTGCAATTTGAGGGCAATGAATTCTTTAGGAGGTTTCTGCATGCAAATGCATGTTGGCCCTCCAGCCAGCGACAAACTGAAATGACAAGGCCCTAAATCAAACCACTGGTGAAGGAATGTGCATTTTATGTTTTAAGTAAAACCAAAATGATTACATGAATCATTTGTTATTTTATGCTTTTAGCTTAGTTTTCTATTAGACAAGTAATTACCAGTTCTGGTATTGGATACCAGGGCTCCAATTTATAAATATAAATGATTTTTTTCTCCTGTTATTACAATGTGACCTTGGGCGATTCAGTTAAACTTCCCAGGACAGCTCTAGTCCATGAAATGAGACTGAGCCCCTAACTCACAATGTGAGTCTCTCTGGAGATCACAGATCTAAGAGTGTTTGTTCAACTCGAAAGCACCAATTTGATGTCAGGGATTCATCATGTGTATTTTTTAACCTGCCCCACTGAGATTAGTTCAGGCCCCAAAGAGGAGCACTCACAAGGCCAGAAACACTAATGGCTCCCGCTGACTCGCCAAAGATGGTCACGGAGAGTGGGTCCCCTCCAAAGAGGTTGATGTTCTTCTGGACCCAGGTAAGGGCAGCCACCTGGTCCAGGAAGGCCCAGTTCCCTGGAGCATGCTGGTCCCCTGTGCTGGGGGTGAAAGGCAGGGTGAGAATGCCCAGTGAGCCACTGACATTGGGGGTGAGGCTGTGGGAGGGTGTCAGGGCATCACCAGCATCCTATAGGGAAGAGAGGTAAATTGGAAGTTTGGGGGAGCTAGAAAACCAGGCTGGGTTCTCACCCTCTGCTGAGATTTGGATTTCTCTGAAAAGTTGATGAATGCTAAGCAGCCAGGAGGAAAAAGCACAGCCTGGCAGGAGAAATTGCAGGATATTCATAGGTTCCCCTGAATCAATGGATCCAGAAGAGCCCTGTTCTTGGCAGTTGGGCTGCACCAGGGAGCAAGGCCTCCCTGTGCACAGAAGTTTCATGATCTGGACACTTATGATCCCGGGTGGCCTTGAGCAAGTCAATGAACCTGCTTTACCACAATGTTCTCTTGTCTAGAATGGGCTAATCCTGGTGCCTAATTTGAGTGGTGGTTGTGAAGGCTGATGGTGCCAGGCACACAATAAGCCCTATGTCCACATCAACGATCACTAGTCAGTCAATCACCACCCTGATTCACTCCTATGGTCTGCATTAAGACTGCACAGTAGCCTCCCAGTCAAACTCCCCATCTGCAGCCTGGACACCCTTAGCCCCGCCTTCACTCTACTCTCCAGAGCACAGCCTGGCTTTCAAAGTCTCTGCCAATCAGACCTGCCCTCACTTTCTAAATCCATGTCCTACTGTGTCCTCATTTGCCTGCCAGATATTGGAAACAATTTTTGGAAACCTTTCTGCCAAAGGGATCTGTTGCAGTCTACCACTGTACACAATCGCTAGGTGTAATTGCTCTGGTCACGGTACCTCTCTCAGTCCTCCTTGTCTTCACTGAAGCCCCGGAGCCATCTCCCAGTGCTCCAGGACCGCATGTTGCTACATTTCCTTGCAAGTTCCCAGCTTTTGCTCTGGCAGCAGTCTTTGCAAAGTATGATCTCTCCCAACCCAACCTTGTCTTTCGGGTGCAGCTGGAATGCCACCTCTCCCATGAAGCCTCCCTGATTTCTTGCAGCTCTCTCAGTCTCGCAGTCCCACTGCCTCGCAATCTCAGGGCATTAAACTGCCCTGCCTGGTGGCATGAGTACTGGTGCTGCTGCATTAGCTTCCCCATGACACTAAGAGTTTCTCAAGGTCAGATCCATATTAGCATCACTGCTAAATTCCCCGCTGTGACAAACAGCAGCCTGCCCTCTTGACTCATTCATGCCTTCCACCATATTCTTGGTAGGATACCAGAATTGTCAAGAGCCTCGGCTCTGTTCTGTGAGCTCTGAGAAGCTGCTTCCCCTCTCTGTACCTCCATGTTTCAACTGTAAAGTGGGACTAGCAACAGTGTGCTTCCAGGAAGACTATTCTGAGGGTGAGCTGGAATAATGCATGGTGAGTGCCTGCACCCTACCTGGCTCACAGTGAACGCCCAAAGCATGTGAGATGTTATTGGACAGAAGGAAGTCAGCACAAAGAATCATTTTTCTCAGGGAGCATTCGGGGAGCCTCGAGATGGGGCCCACGCTACACTCCTGACTGCTCCCACAATACAACTGGGCTACATGTCTCCATTCCCCTTGGAGTTGGTGTGGCCTTTGCGTTCTGCCACAGGATGTGAAGAGAAGTGATGAGTGCAACCTTCAGGCTGACCCCGGAAGGCCTCCCTGGCATGACTCCATGCTCTCATTCCAATGCAGAGGGCCTGGAGCCCTGGAGAAGAGCAGAGCCACAAGGGGGAAGGAGCCCGGGTCCCTGATTGACTATGTGGAAGGATATCTGTCAATCAGGAACACTCCATTGGACTTTACTTGAATGAGAAAGAGATTTTCATCTGAAAAGTTACTAAGATTGGGGGGGTTCACCTGTGATAACTAAGTAACTTGGGCCAAGTTGGTTCAATGGCACGAAGGCTCCTTTCTCCTGTGGTGACTGGACACTGAATCTCCTATGGCTACTACACAGCTGCTCCCGGGAGATCAGGGGGTCAATCACTTACTTAAAGAAGCCAAATATTCCCAGCCGATACTGGATAGTCACAACCAGAACGTCCTCGAAGGCAGCCAGGGCAGACCCGTCGAAGATGGAGGCTGAGCCAGTCTCGAAGGCGCCCCCGGGAAACCACACCATGACCTAAAAGGGAGGAGAAAATGCTCCAGTCGGCCCTTGGGGCACCCACACCCCCTCCCAAGCAAGAAATTCTTTCTTTAGAGAAATATAAATCACGTTCCTGTCTAAACAGCATCAGAAGTTTTGTGTTTTGAAGATGGTCCAGGTTAAGCATGTAGGTTCTGTAACCTGAATACCTGTGTTTGATTCCCAGCTCTGCCACTGACTGGCTGCGTGACCCTGGGCAGATTACTTAACCCCTCTGGAGCTAGTTTTTCCCATCTGTAAGACGTGAAGAATGAAATATCTCACTTACGAGGTTATCATGAGGTTTAAAAAGATTCTGCATCTAAAGCTCATGGGCAATATCGGCACATTTCAAGCGTTCAAGAAGTGTTAACAGAATATCATGAGACTTGTGACTCACAGGAAGATGGAAGTCACTGGCAGCCATGTATGAGAACTGAAGTTGCTTAGGATGTTTTAATCTAAGGCTTTTTTCCCCTACCTACAGAGAGAAAGGGAGGTGAGAAGAGGAAAAAAAGGAAGAGATGTGTAGATGTAGATATTTTAATATATTGATTAGAACAATTGGTTAATTAGGGTCTTATATTGGGAAGTGGTAGGAAAAGAGAAGAAAACCACTGAGGGAGGGGCCTCCCCGGTGGCGCAGTGGTTGAGCGCTGAGTTGCGAAGCTGCCCGCAGCCTCTGCAAGCGCGGTTCGATCCCCGCTTCTCCCCGGCCACTGGAGGAGGGGCCACTGGAGGAGGGTCCCACATGGCGCACAGACTTCTCCTGCCACCTGCTGCTCCCCTCAGCAGTGTACTTCGGTCCTTCTGCCTGCTCTGCTCCCCGCTCTGGCTCTGGTGAATTCTCTCACCCTTCCGCGCTTCTGACTGTACCCAGTGTTTATATAAATAAAAAAAAAAAAAGGAAAAGAAAAAAGAGTAGAGGGAAAGTTAAAAAAAAAGAAAGAAAGAAAGAAAAGAAAACCACTGAGGGAAAGTAGGAGCTGACAAAAGCTTTGGCTTTGGCAGCAGGTTCTGTCACTTACTACAAGTGTGACAAGGAGCAGGACACTATGCCTTCCCCATGCTTCATCCTTTATGTCTGTAGAATGGGTCCAATAATCTTTACCCACTGGGTTATTGAGGGAGTTAAATGAAATAGCATGTTGTGTTGGGCAGGTAGTCAGTGCTCATAGATGCTGCTGATGTGATAAAATAAAGCCACTGTCCCATTGTAGTGTGTTTTAGTGTGACTAAAAACTCACTGGTGGGATATACTTTTTGCACTCACTTCTTTTTCACTCTCTTCTATAAGGATCTTCATTGCAAACAGGAAAACTGGAGGATGCAATATACTCTTTAAAAGGGGGATTTCTCAAACAATAATAATCAGTCTTTTGTAACAGTGTTTTTTCTGAGTTTACAGGTCATCAAATGCTTCAGGAGAGACAAAACAAAATAAAAATCAAAGGGGAAGTCATCGCCAATAAGGAGGCAACAGGAAAAGAAGATCAGGTGAATCTGTCCTTATGACTTTTAAAAAGCTTATTGATGTGTCCAGTAATACATTTCCCTCATACAAAAAGGGACCAGGTCAGATTCCAGACACCCAGACAACACAACCTGCTGGCTGGAGACCCCAACATGACGGGTAGCCTTACAGGGAGCTTGGAGTCAGAGTCTGCATGGGCAGGCACGTAGATGTTAAGGTACAGGCAGTCTTCTGACACTTCCAGTTTGGGGTAATGCACCTTGAGTATGTTTTCATCTGTGATCAGCCAGTCTGCGTTCTGGAAGCACCTTGGAAAAGGGAAGGAGAGACCCCAGAGGTGCTGTCAGCCAACTTGCTTAGGAGTCAGTTCTTGTGACAGCCAGAGGGGAGGCCTGGACTTTCCCTGTGCCTGAGCCGAAGAGGTTTATGGGAGCTATTGGATCGGTGCAAAGTCTAATCATGCCTCATCCTCC